ACAAGTTTCTTAAAGTTAGTTCTAGTGGATACGCCATTAATTCATAGATCAAACAAAAGTGTTGCCCAATACGACTTCTATGCAGTCGGTTATTCGTTCAATGAATCCTTCTGGTCATATACAGAATCACCCCAGTGAATCACTTTTATGTGAAGTTTTTGAAAGAAGAATCCCTTATAGACACTGAAATGCTGTTCGTAAAAAATGGGAGCCTACTGCACCCTTTTATTCCAGTACTAAGTGAATGAGCAATTCACGAGTTAGTAAGCTGAAAATGCTTGCAATGAAAAATCTGGAAAATCCCCAATCACTCATGAAAAAATAAAACATAAAGCTTCTGGACAACAGAACCTGACAAAAAAAGGAGAGAAATACACTACATGTTTACATTATGCATTAATATACATACACACTGGGGCAGCAGCAGTCATTCGACACCATATGTGAGCGACTTTTCGAGCGTGAACTGGAATTCGTTAAGTGAACTGATTAGCTTTGATAAATAGTTCAGATAATGCGGGGTGCGCAGGAACGATGGTTGGTCGTACATCTGCGATGTAATCGGAGTCCACGCCATCAACGGCAGCAATCCCGATAAGATGTGATCCCTGAGGAATGAAAATGAATTAGTGGCGAAGGCGACTGCGGCACATAAACGATCTTAAACAGGACAGCTGCACCAAAACCTACTGCAGAAAGTGCCAAAATTTTTCAACACCTTTAAAAATAAATGTAGCTCCTCAGGTAAAAAGGGCGTTTTAAAAGGCCCACATCCACAGCTAATATTCTTTTTAGGAGATGAAATGAACATCAGGATCACCAGCAGGCTAACCACTGCACGATGCAACACTGATCAAAATAAACAGAGAAGTCACTCGCTGCATAGCTGGAGAACTAGGCAGCGAATTAACAACTGTTTCACACATTACAAGTGAATATTCACCGAGGACTGTGTGTGGAAGCAAAAATGGAATAAAATTCGCCTGGTTAAACGTGAACGTAAATTTTACGCTAAATTACATTGGGGTTTTGCTTTTCGTTTTCAAAACATCAAGAATAAAGGACTTTTCCAACAATCGGTGTGAGGATTACACATTAGTGGTGCTAATTGTGATACTTGCACACGCCATTAGTAGCTACAGCTGGTTCTTCGATCTTGAATAACATCGCACATGCAGCACCTGCCAGCTGCTCAGTGATGACATCCCTGTGTTGGCTGATTTTGTCCCACGGAATACTTACTGATAAGCGAAATTCATCGGTTCTCAGCAAAACACGGCGCATGCCTTGCCCAACGGAATCTGGTTCCCGGAATGGACACAATGGCTGGTGCACACCGCTCACCTGACAAAGAGTCTGCCCACTTATCACATGGTCATGAAGGGTCACCCCGAGTGCCATTTGCATCATTATTCTCTCCTCTACGGCCAGTGTTTGCTTTTCTGTTTTCGTCAGCGGCCATCTGTGCATTCAACAAATTTGTGAGAAAGCATTAAAAGCATTTCTGTGCCTACCTTGTAGTGATGAGGATGAACAATTGAAATTTGCCATCTTTGCCAAGGAAGGTGTTTGCGGATATGCGACGAGCAAGGTTACATGCCTGCATAATGAGCAAGCGCTGCTCACGTGTCAATCGCTTCGAATCTTCCATATGCATCAGATCCCAAAACCACTTGCAAACCTTCTCTGGAAATTACATCAACCGATAACACGCATTTCCATTCTGTATTTTGTCAAGCACATTTTTGGGCCCGCTTCTTTGCACGTTTCAATCCTAACTGCCTTTCGCTCTCTCATTCTCCTCTGCATTTTTCCACTGCTAAATTCACTCGGCATTTGCTTCAGCAGCACCAAAAAAAACAAACTTCTGCAGAACCGAGAAATATGTGTCATGGTATCTGTCCGAGCAGTGAATGCGCCATTAAAAGGAACAGGTGGTTTCAACCTATCTGCATTAAAAGAAGAAAGACAGGCACGGGTTTCAGGTTCATGCAACAGAAAGTACAATGGAATTCCCGTATGCAGTTTACTGCACTTTGATGCTATAACACCAGTTCGAACTGCACTTCAGGATGCCATCGAACAAGGCAGTCGAGGAACAGCGGAGTTAAACTTTCAACCTTCAGCAAAACGGCAGTAACACTTGCAGCTACGACGTA